CTTACTTCAGTACCATCTGGAAGGCGCTGTAGTTGAACGAGTAGCCGCCAATCACCCACATGAACTTCCCGTGCATGACCGTCTTGTGTGATGCCCGGCCCACCGAGGGGCTGAAGGGTTTGACGTTGGGTAGGATCCAGTACGAGTCGGTAGACGGGACGCTCAGTGAACAATCCGGACCTGTCAATGGCAAGAACAGGAAAATGTCCATCAGGTGGACAACAGAAAGGTCCATAATAGACATTAATCCAACAATAGAACGAGGCGCTGGCGTCAGCTTATCAATATAGGCAGAGACAAGGCGGTTCTCGACAAAAACGGGGTACCCCATGAGAAGGGGGTCCAGGGTTAAAGATCGACGTGATGTGTACAATGTCTAATGAGGGCACCAAACAAAGAGTCTAGGAGTCCAAAGCCTTTTTTACATGCCAAAGCCTGCCCTGTGTCCAGGACGCTTCACGGCCAAGCTTCATACAGGGACCATCGGCTTCCTAGCAACCGATGGTTTTGTGAAGCCAAGCCTGGCTGGTTGCTAGGGCGCTGGTGGCCACTAGGACTGCAGCCTACTAGCAACCAATTAAATCATGTGGCTGCCCTCACTGTTTGCTAGGCAGCCTTAGGACCACCAGCGTACTAGCAACCAAAGATGTTGTGCAACCGAGAGTCATTGGTTGCTAGGATGCTGGCGCAACTTACTCCAAAATGACATTGGCTCTTACCTATCACCAGCTTCCTTCATTCCAAAATGGCCGGATTATATCGCAGCCATTGCGATATAATGTAAAAGAGTCGCTATCACAAACTAATTGATTCTGTGGCATGTGCCGGTAATATGATTAGATCTGTCACCCGGCTTTTCTGAATCTGGCGCCTACACCTCATTAACACCAGAAAAGTGTCACATATGTTATAATGAATCACCGCCATTATGTCCTGTGACGGCTTCACACCAGTGACAACGATTTTGTATCTTTGACTTAAAAAGCGTCATTTATATTTGATGGGCTAATATTGGAAGTCGCTAATAGTGTGGGCTGAGGCCCCACCCCCCTCTGATGACGTGGCGCCTCTTGATTGGAGGACATTGTAGGGTTCCCTGGCCTATATATAGGGAGGGATTAGGTCAGGGCAGACACAGATTTGTCTGTGTGTGGTCTCACTATTCAAAGCTGAAGTTGAATACTTGCCGTTGTCACTATGTCGCCCAGAAGAAGGGACCCTGCGTGGCCTCGAGACGTTGGCTGTATGACGCATGTGACAATTTAATAAAAAGTGCTTTACTTCTTGCACATATCATCGAGTGCCGGTGACTTCTATTATAGGCTGTATAAGCTGTCACAAGTAAGGTCCTTCTAATCCTTTTGTATGGCATTGTATTGTAATTATAATGTCTTCCCTATGTTGTAAAGCGCTGTGCAAACTGTTGGCGCTCTATAAATCCTGTATAATAATGATAATAATATAGATACTGTGGCAGTGCATGGCAATGCCACTGCGTTATCTCCATTCCAGAATCTAAGTGGCCAGCGCATGCTGATGGCACAGGTGTGCACAGCCTTTAAATTAAAGTTGTTGGGAAGGGTTCAAGACTCCACCTGGGAGACAGAAAAGCTCCACCCAGGAGTCAGAGTGGAGTCCAGTGCAGCAGGGTGCTGCGGATTGGGAAGAACCCCCAGTGTGCAGGTTAGCACACGACTGAGGCTGTCTGGAGGAACAGACAGTGGGCTGAGGCCGGAGCAGCAAATGCAAGGCCATGAGATGCTAAAGAACCCCTGCAAGGGTAATTGTTCTGTTTTGTGAACTTTCATTTAATAAAAGTGGGCAAGGAAGCCCTTGAATGAAGATTACAGCGAGTGAATGCGTCTTTTATGCGCTATTATTTGGAGCTAATCGCCACAATACATTGTGGTCAGCATTGTACTTTTCTTTGCATTACACAAACTGCCCACTGGGTGTCACTGCGGCTCAGTATATCTCGGCGTTTCCATAGGTGGCCATGAAATTCTCCTTCAGACAAATCAGAGGTCTGTACAGATGAAGGTAGAAATGTTCCGGGCTTTATTCAAATATTCTATTCATTTATGGACCTTGCAGCTTCCGCACCTTTAGGAAACGGCCCGCTGGTGACTTCACTGGGGAACATGTAGTCTGGGTTTTAGGCCTACCATGGTGCGTGTAAAGGGACAGGAAACTAGGGCAGGGCCCTTTACCCTGAAAATATGTTCTTTTTGGGTGAATAATGTTCTTACATTTGTAAACTGTTAATAAATAGACCCCTATGTGTACCTCTAGAGCCTGGCCTGTATTTATTATTAGAATGTGTTTTCCTTGATTAAAAGGAGAACTATGAGGGGACGGGGGGGTGATTTTCACTCAGCCTCATAGTTGGAGCCGACGTGTGACAATGAAACTGTCAGACGTCGGCTCAGTAGATTGGGAAGTGAGCAAACACATACCGGCGCTCGCTCACTTCTCTATCTATCCGTGCAGAGAGCCGTGACTGTCACTCACTGCCGCCTGCAGGGATTCCCCTCCTCCCCGCGCCGATCCTCCAGCGTTGACTGGTGGAATGGACGGGGGAGGGGGAGGGGGAGGGTACAGCTGGCTCTGCCTCTAGATAGGCGGAGCCAGCTGTCACTCACGCAGCTGGGCGGATCCAGACATAATTGTCGGGATCCGTTCCGGCTGCGGCGTCTCTGTATACCGGGAGCTGCAGCTCCCTATATACTGAGCTTAGGGTGATGGGGGGACGCTAGTTTGTGCCCTCCCGTTACCCTAAGGAGAACTATGGGGAAAAGCACTGACCCTATAGTTCTCCTTTAAGGAGCTGCCAGGTTTACTTTAAGGCCTCATTCACACTAGAATCGGGCGGCACGTACAGCTCAGTGCTGTGTGTGCGGGCGTACCAAGCAGCTCCCGGGAAGGACAGATGCTGAGTGTGATTAGTACGCAGTCCCCGTCCTTCTCTATGGGACTACGTGGCCGTATGCCCCCCCTACGCTCACCGCAGGTCCGTAGGGGTGCGTGTTTCCTGGTTCGGACGCAGAAGGGTTTCCATCCCGTCAGCGTACGAGTACGCTCACCCGCATCCGCCCGGACGTGCAGGGCCGGTGAGCGTAGGGGGGCGTACGGCCACGTAGTCCCATAGAGAAGGGCAGGGGCTGCGTACTAATCACACTCAGCACCTGTCCGTCCCGGGAGCTGCCTGAGCTGTACGTGCCGGCCGATTAAAGTGAATGAGGGCTAAAACATAACATAACAAATGTCTATTCAGTCAAAGTACCGCAGCGCTGAATACTGAAAAATGGCCTGGATGGGAAGGGGGTTTAACACCGCGGATGTCAACTGGTTAACAGAATTAGATAAATATGTGGCTGCAGCCTCCAGAATTGTCCTCCGTTCTTCCACGCCAGTCGCCATGCATGCGAATCACGTGTTACGTCTACCTACAGATTAGTTTTTTTTTATACAAAACACTCTGAAATTGTAAGTAGAGACAATGCAACAAGTCTAGCGGCCCTTCTAGAAGCTCTCCTAGCTGTTGTGCAGGAACAATGCAGGACCTGGGATCCTCTATGACAATGGTCGTCAATGTACGAGGTCAAGGGGGGTGTCAAATGTGGCCCCTGAAATCTCAAAATGGCCGCATATATAATATGTAATTCTCGGTCCATAATGACTCCGCATCTGTGGCCACAACTGATCAATCAGGAGACTCCAGAATCTATGTAATTATCCTACCAATCTCTTTGCCTAACTTAATGTAACGGCAAACTCAGGAACACGCACAAGTGCGCACTCGATAGCGTCACATCATATGGAAAATTCCAAGCCGAGCTCAGCAACCTTTTCCACATTAAAGTGACACTAAACTCCGGAGATAAATCTTAAAAATCCCTCCAAGTCCCTGAACTCTGAACCACAATGTATCTTATTTGTGTATCACTCGGCTGGAGATCCCCCAATCATCTCTGACACTGTCCTTCCTTCTGGAAGGGGGCTACGTCTGTTCCCCATGGTCCCTGTGTGTGTTGTAGAGTAGTCACCGCTCCAAGCTCCCCTCCCGAGATGGACTACAATCCCAATACAATTCATTAAACTAAACATGAGATTGTAGTCCATCCCTGGGAGCGAGCTTGGAGGGACCAGAAACAGCTGCCTTGTTAGGATCCAGAGCGCCTCCAGGTGGTGCTGGAGCTAAGCCCTGCAGTTCCAGTGCTCACCTGCAGGTGTTTCTAGGAAGCCAGCACTTAGCCATCACCTGGTGCTTCCTGGGAGGGTATATAAACCCTCCCTGCAGTCACGATGGCTCAGATCTCGGCTGTAGATCCTCCAATCATCTCTGGCACTGTCCTTCCTTCTGGAGGGGGGGCTACGTCTGTTCAGCATGGTCCCTGTGTGTGTTGTAAAGTAGTCACCGCTCCAAGCTCCGCCCCCGGAATGGACTACAATCTCATGTTTAGCTTACTAACTTGTATTGAGATGGTGATTTGCATGAAAAGTGAGGATTCTCATGGAGAGTCTCAGTCAGTTGTTGCAATAAAGCCGTTTGAAGGTAATAGGAAGTTGGGTCTCACAGTCTACAAAAAGGGGGGAGTAATGGGGCCCGGACTATGGCCGGCACCCATGGCTGTAATGTGTGGCCTGAGGCCCCCTGGAGAGCGGTTACTAATTTCTGAATGGCTGGTTTAAGAATCACTTTGCCCATCCCCGGAGGCCGCCATTACAGAAGAGGTGGGGTGATCGCAGTGATTTCGGCAAACTCATAGGGCCGATTTATGGTTGTGCATAGCTGGGCAAATGTCATTCGCATAACACTAGAGTCACTATATGGCACGGGAGGAGCAAAGGAAACAAACGGCAACTGCGCAGCTGTACACTGGGAGGGATGTACGTAAATCAGCCCCTTCGTTTTCCCTTACTGAGCTGTTATTTTTGCCTTCTCTATTAATTCAATTGCATTTCATCAAAATAGTACATGAAAAATTGGGATATCCAGAATTTAAACACAATTACAGCAAAATAAAAACGTTCAATTCAGCTCATCCCTCCCGGAGCATTGACAGCTAGGCTTTGATTTCTGGACTGAAATGTGCAAACTCCAATCCAGCCACTAGGGGTCAGCAGCGGATAAGAGACGGAGTTGGCGGGTATTCAGGAAGAATAAAGTCAATACTGATACTGAGCGTCATTTCTAACATCGAAGAGGAAAATAACCCGACTGCAACGTGACATTTTGCTTTGTTTACCTTTCTAGTGTCTGATTACAACCTATGCCAGGTGATTATAATTTCCCTTCACATTCCAAACAACATATTTTGTCTTTTCATTCAATATTTTTTTAATAATAATAATATTTTTTTCTTAAAAGGATCATGTTGCAATTTGACAAATGTGAAGGAAGCTTTCAACAAATATCCCCGGCAAAGTTACATCATATCAGGTAAGGGTCA